CGCCGCAACTACGATAAGCGGCCTTCGCCTCCGCGGAAAGCAGAGCGCTCCTGCCAGCCGTCAACATGTGAATTCTGCGGCCGCGCGCCACATCCACGTTCTAACTGCCCTGCTCGAAACTCCGTCTGCAACTTCTGCAAAAAGAAAGGACACTTTGCGGAAGTGTGCCGCGCGCGGCAGGCAAAACAGAAGCTCGGCTCCATTCAGCTACACGCTGTCGGGACGCCCGCCGCGGCAAAGTTCGTCGACATCACCGTTGACAACTACACAGCGCAGTTCAAGGTCGATTCTGGAGCCGAGGTGTCCGCTGTTCCGAGCGACTTCCCTGCATTGCCGGCCAAGCTCGACCCCGTCAACAGCCTGCTCACCGGACCTGGCGGTCAGCCGCTGCGCGTGCTGGGTTCGTACATGGCGAGACTTCGGTGGCACGGGAAAATGAGCTCTCAGCGCTTGTACGTGATCCAGTCTCTCACCGTACCTCTTCTTGGACTGCCGGCGCTTCAAGCTCTGGAAGTTGTAAAGTTTCTCGACGAACTTCAGACTCCGAAAGCAACATTGCGTGCTGAGCTCTTCCAGGGATTGGGCACCCTCAAGGACGAGTACACTATCCTTCTGAGACCTGACGCCGTACCCTTCTCCCTAAGTGTGCCTCGCAGGATTCCCATCCCGCTACGCGAGGTCGTCCGTCACGAGCTTGACAAACTGGAGGAAGGAGGCGTGATCCACAGGGTCGACAACCCAACCCCGTGGTGCTCTGGTCTCGTTGTAGTACGGAAAGCCGATGGTTCCTACCGGCTGTGCGTCGACTTGACTCAGCTGAACAAGGTTGTTCTTCGGGAACGCCACATCCTACCAACTGTAGAGCAAGTCCTTGGCCTCCTTGGCGACGCAACAGTTTTCTCCAAGCTGGATGCAACAGCCAGTTTTCATCAGGTTAAACTATCTGCAGACTCCCAAGAGCTCACAACGTTCATCACCCCATTTGGCCGATACTGCTTCTGCCGGCTCCCCTTTGGCATCATCTCCGCGCCGGAGTACTTCCAAAAACAGATGGCCAGGATCCTGGAGGGCCAGGAAGGAGTCGCCAATATGATAGACGACATTCTGGTCTTTGGGCGCACCCACGAGGAGCACGATGCCAGACTGAGCCAGGTGCTGTCTCGCCTTGCAAAAGCAGGCCTCACGTTGAACCAAGACAAGTGTCGTTTTGGTGTCTCCGAAGTCTCCTTCCTAGGAGTCATCGTTTCAGCACAAGGCATCAGGCCAAGTCCAGACAAGGTCGAAGCAATCAAAGCCATGGAGGCTCCAACCGACATCGCAGGTGTCCGGCGACTGCTTGGAATGGTGAACCATCTTGCCTGGTTTTTGCCTTGCATCTCAGAGGTCACAGCTCCCATCAGAGCACTTCTAAACAAGTCTGCGACTTGGGTGTGGCAGCATGAACAAAATGCTGCATTCGAGAAACTCAAGGAACTCCTGACATCAGACCGTTGCATGGCCAAGTACCATCCATCATACGCCACCACAGTTTCGGCTGACGCAAGCTCATTCGGACTGGGCGCAGTCTTGCTGCAGACACAGCCCTCTGGAGAGCGCCGCCCAGTTGCGTTTGCTTCGAGATCAATGACCGAGACAGAGCAGCATTACAGCCAGACAGAAAAGGAAGCGTTGGCAACAACATGGGCTATCCAACAGTTTGACGAATTCGTCCGCGGCATCACCTTCGATGTTGAGACAGATCACCTACCACTCGTTTCTCTCTTCGGCAAGATGGAGCTGGACATGCTGCCGCCTCGCATACAGAGGCTCAGGTTAAAGACCATGCGACACCAGTTCCGAATGCTCCACGTGCCAGGAAAGCTGTTAGCTATGGCAGATACCTTGTCACGCATCACCCAAAAGTCGTCCCTCCCCCTGGACACCGTGGAATTGTTTGCAGCTCAAGTGGTCAGCGGCATGTCAGAAGCCTTGCCACTAAGCCCAGAGGACGTGCGACAAGCACAAGAGTCCGATGGCGAATGCAGAGCCCTCACCTCCCTCTGCCAGAATGGTTGGCCACAGAAGTCCAAACTGCCACTGCACCTCTCCCAGTATGCCTCAGCAGCAGATGAGCTCTCTGTCTGCGACGGTGTTCTACTGAAAGGCGCCAGGATGGTCATCCCGCATTCTCTTCGGCCGGCTGTTTTGACGCTGTTGCACGAAGGACACCAAGGCATCAACAGGACGAAAGCTCTCGCTCGAAAGTCCATTTGGTGGCCTGGCATTTCGGCAGACATTACCTCTCTGGTAACTAACTGCGAGCAATGTGCTTCCACTCGGGTGAACCTTGCGGAGCCCCTGGTCTCCAGGGTCCTACCTGGACGTCCCTGGGAACTTGTCGGCGTGAACCTGTTCCACCTCCGCAGCCAGACATTCATCTTGGTGGTGGACTACCACTCCAGGTACCCTGAAGTTGTAACCTTGCGGAGCACAACGGCTCAGGCAGTCATCGACGTTCTCAAAAGCATCTTTGCCCAGCATGGGATTCCGCGAGAAGTCAGATCAGACAACGGTCCACCGTTTTCTTCACGCGAGTTTGCAGCATTGGCGGCATCTTACGGCTTCGACCACGTCACCAGCAGCCCGCACTATGCGCAATCGAACGGAGAGGCGGAGAGAATGGTCAGGACCATCAAGGAGTTGTTTCGCAAAGCAACAGACTCTCATCTGGCCTTGCTCAGCTACCGGGACACCCCCGGAGTCGATGGCTTCAGCCCGGCCCAGCTCTTGATGGGACGACAACTCCGTACCAAAGTGCCGAAACAGGACTCCCAGTTATGTCCTCACTGGCCGTCGAGGAAAGACGTGAGGAGAAAAGATGCAGCCTACAAGCAGAAACAGGCCGCTGACTTTAACAGGCATCACAGAGCTCAAGATCTGTCATCGCTCCGAACAGGCCAGTGTGTCTGGGTACGACCTGATCAGGTCAAAGCTACAGTGCTTAGCCCAGCACGCCGACCACGACGTTATGTCGTGGAAACGGAGCAGGGTGGCGTCCTACAGCGCAACCGGTGTCGCCTAGTGCCTTTTGCACCTCCTGCGCCAAAGGTGGAACCACCGCCGTCTGAGGAGCAGGAGCCACAGCGAACACTGCCCCCTCTGGAACCCCAGCGAACTACTATAGTGCAACCACCCGATTCCCTTGGACTGCCCCCTGCAGACAGTGACCGCAGTGATGGTGTGACACGAAAACGTAGTGGCCGCCGTGTTGTGCCTCCGAACCGCCTGAGCTTGTGACGTGCAGTGTCTGGTGTCCTCCGTCTTCCGTCTGGTCTTCAAGGGGGGAGATGTAGAGGTCGCCACCCTTCAGTCATTTAGTTCGGCTGCCACTAGCAGGTGGCGCCCCTGAGATTGTATATATTCTGCCCCGAATAAAATGGGAGGCCCCTTTTCGTTAGCTGAGCAGCTGTCGGGCGTATCTTCTCTCTCCGCTCGTGCTCCGCCACGCTGGCGCGGCACCAGCCACAAGACAGTTGGAGCGTACGAACGCGTGGCGCATGCCAGCCAAGCCGGGTCTTGCTGGTGCTGGTGCCACGATGATTGTGGTGGGCTACTTGAATGTGGCGAACCTGTCGCAGCAATATATAACCACACCAAGTTTCCATGGCGACCCCAGTGGAGCCAGTCCAGATAGCTCGAAGCTTTGATTACTAGGTTTTGATGCTGTATGCTTCCTCTAAATCTATACTTACTCAGAGCTGGTCTGGTGATATCACCCCTCTATGCATTCTGCACAGAAACAGAATAAATTGAGAATTATCTTTCTTTCTTGTCGCCGATACTTTATACTTAGAAAAAGACTTCTAGAGAAAAGAAAAAGACTTGGTGTCTCAGTTTCGTGACATTGCCACCGGGACGCTTTCAATGCCGTTTGCGATTTTATTCTGGCATCCAAACGTATCTCACTATAATCCCCAATCTAATAATTAATATTGATTATAATAAAAAGTGTTTTAACATTGATTCTGAATGGTTAGGTGAAGTAAACGCAGCTGTGTGGTCATTTGAACAGCTAAAGTATCAAAATATCTCAAATTGCCGTTTCTATTACCCCCCCTTTTCCTCTCTTTTTCTGTGGTTTTCCATACATTAGTTACATTTTAATATAATCTCATTCTTACACATAGTTGTAATGCTCACAGAAAAAGCACCCTACGCTCTTTTGGCACATCCTCCTGAGTGGGTATGAGCCATAATTCGAAGGAGTCAAACAAACAAACACTCAGCTCAGTCAGGCCTCAGTGAGTGCTCGTGTACACACTATGACCCAGCCAGTGCTCTTCCTCTTCCTAGCACTTCCTCAAGTTGTGCTATTTCTTGGCTTCCAGGAAGAAAGGTAACAAATCAAGTGCGCGTCTGATTATAATGCCTCACTTTAACTTAATTATATCCCCTTGAGCGCAAGTTATGCTGCTCTGTCCGCAAATGCGCCTAATCGCACGGCATGATTGCAAGGCATGCAGTATTACATTCCACGATAGAAAATACACAAGGGTATTGTTTTGTGTGAGATTAAGTAGTTAATTTTACTTGTCATGCCGCTAAATAACTGATTATTTTGTAATAAGCCAGCTGCAATTCTTACACAAAAGGAATCAAATATTAGTCCACTTTGTATCTCGCGGATGTCGATTTGAAGCGAAGAAAAAAAAAAGAGCTAACGTTGGTTCTCGTACGCGGCCCGTCCAATGATTGTCAAGCATGGTAGCGTCTGCCGCAAAGTGATCCTGTGCAGCGATGCGCAACATAATGAAGATCAATGGCTGCTATCTCGGAAAGCCTTGCACGAATGTCCACACTGAGTTTAAAGCCATTCGATGAAATACGTGGTGCGTGATGTACCTCTATGGTTGATGTGTACAACCTTTTAAAGGGATTATCGTCATGGTACATTCGTTGCTTTATTCGTACGGAAAACGTCGTGTTTATTCAATGCCCCGACAGTGCCTTAGACAACTCACCGATGGCGGCGTGAAGTAGCTGTAGCCGATGTCATCACCCGATGCCAACTCCTGGTAGACGCCGAAGAAGTCCGGAGACATGGCGGGGCTCACCGTGCTTGCCGTGGTTGTCGTCCACGTTGCTGCCATTTCGCTGCTGCGGCGGCCAGCACCTGCACAGTAGGTGAGCACGTGCTTCAGTCACACACTCTGAAGCCTCGCGCGTACTATCAGTCAAACAGCCGGAGTTACGTGTGCACATAATTAGAATACAATGCATCTCAGTGCCTTCTTCACCACTGACTTAACGAGGAGTACGATGACGTCTCGAACGATGGCCATAACATTCGACAGCTGTCTAAATTCCTAGTCAACGTACAGATTATACATCGCCTACGTCTAACCTTCATACTCGGGAGGAAACCAATTATTTCAATAATGCGTACAGTCGACAGCAACATAAAAGAAAACGTTGAGTTCATGTTCGAAAATTCGTACTTGCTAACAGCATTTGCAGAAGAAAAATTATTCATAGCACGGAATGTTCAAACAAAAATACACGTGTTGCGAACCAATGCACCTAATTTTTACGCGTACATAACGAGTGATCACCACTTAAGTACGAACTTGACGTTGTGTCTAATGATTTGTCACAAGTTTACATTTTCTGGGACACTCTAAAAATAGTGCTTCCGCAGTGTAATGCCTTTCGTTTCGCAGATAAAGTCTCATGCAATTTAATTCTTATTAATAGTTAAGTTTTATCGTCCCAAAGCCACCATATAACTATGAGATACGCCGTAGTGAGGGGTTCAGGAAATTTAGACCACCTGGGGTTCTTTAGCGTGTACCCAAATCTAAGCACATGGGCTCCACGCATTCTCGCCTCCATCGAAAATACGGCAGCCGCGGCCGGGATTCGATTCCACGACATGCGAGTCAGTAGCCGAGAGCCTTAGCCACTAGACCACCGTGGCTGGTTGCATGGACTGTACCAATTGAATGTGATGCCGTTTGGGCTTTGCAACGCCCCCACCATCTTTGAACGATTCATCAACGCATGCAACGCCCCCACCATCTTTGAACTCCGTCCTTCATGGTCTTAAATGGGAGGCGTGCTTGTGCTACTTGGATAACGTCATCATTTTTAGGCGTATCTTCGAAGAGCATAACTTCTGTTGAGCCTTGTTTTAGACTCTGTAGGAAAGGTTGGCTTCATTTTGAACTCTAAGGAAAGCCGTTTTGGTGAACGACAAGCATAAGTTCTCTCTCACCTAGCTGACAAAAATGGTGTCAGACCAAAATCGAAGCAGTCAGCACGTTCAAACCACCGCGGACACTAAAGGAACTTCGCCGCTTCTTGGCATTATGTTCCTACTTTCGTCGTTGTGTGTACAGAGTCGCGGTCGTTGTACACTCATTGACGAGCTTGTTGCGAAAAGACCGCCCATTTGAGTGGACCCCTGAATGTGATGCCGCATTTTATGAACCGAAGGTTTTACTGACTAGAGAACCCATTCTTCGTCATTTCGATGTATCTGCTCCTGCTAAAGTGCTGAGTGATGCAAGTGGAATCGACATCGGAGGTGTTCTTGTTCAGCACCTCAATGATGCAAAGAATGTTGTTGCGTATACAAGTCGATCTCTAAACAAGGCTGAAATGAATTGTGCGGTGACAGAGCAAGAATGTTTAGCGACTGTATTCGCCATTCAGAAGTTTTGTTGTTACCGCTACGGCCATCCGTTTACAATTGTGATAGACCATCATTCATTATGTTGGCTGGTTACTCTCCGAGACGCTTCTGACCGCCTTGCACGATGGCCTTTACGCCTCCAAGAATTTGACTTTAGCATTTCGGACAGAACTGGAAGACGTCATTCGGATGCTGATTGCCTTTCTCGCCTACCTAGGACCACGGCAGAATACAGCGCAGATACCTTCAACATCTGTTTTTCTTCGGTCTCTCACACGTTTCCTGACGCGAAGATTGCCAAACAGGAACAATCAAAGTAGTTATCTTTAGACCCCTTTGTTTGCTGACGCCCGCAGTCTCTAAGGTAGCGGTTGCTTTCGGCTTCGTGATAGACTGTTGTGCAAGACTAATTAATCAGCAAACGGCGCACGTTATTCACTGCTGGTAGTCTTCGATGCGACGTTCTCGGTACTATACACGATAATCCAACGTCAGGCATCTTGGGTTCATTCACATCTTGCATCGAACAGAGCAGAGGTTTTACTGGCCTCGAAAGCGAGATTTTGCGAAGTAATACGTCTTGAGCTGCGAAAAGTGCCAGCGTCACAAATAACCGACCAGTTCCCCGCATGGCCTTTTTTACCCCGCAAAGCCACCTACTACGCCTTTCGAGCAGGTTGGCATCGACCTATTGGGCCCGTTCGCGCGATCTTCCAACAAAAGCGACTGGATAATACTGTACGTCGACCACCTCACAAGATATGCCGAAACCGCTGCGATACCATCTTACATAGATGACAGCGCCCCTGCCGCTTTGTTACACACTGTAGTTCTTCGCAATGGCTTACCTAAAGTGATAATTAGTGACCGTGGTCACCAATGCATCGCAGAAGCTATGGAAGAATCGCTTCGCCGCAACACTTCGACGTTCAGACAGTCGAAACCATATTATCTTCAGATGAATGGCCTTGTAAAACGTACAAATCGAACTCTTACTAACATGCTCGCTATGTATGTCTCATCCAATCACGAGAGCTTGGATGAGATCGACCGTTTATTACCTATGCACACAATAGAGCGAATTACGAAACCATGGAGTTCACGCCCTTCTACCTGTTCTGCGCTTGATTAACGCGCAGCTTCCTTCATATGAGCCTTCTATTTATGTTCTATGCCGATCAGTCCGTAGCCGAAACACTGTGCCGGGCTGAAGAATCCCGTCAAATTGCTCCCCTGCGCATACTGGAATCACAAGATCGCTCCAAGCAGCAGTACAAACAACGCCATGGTGCCATTAAATTCCACGAAAGTGAATTCATAAAATTAGGGACCCCCCCCCCCCCCCGCCCTATGGGAACGTGGTTTATGTCAGAAGTTTTTTCCACAGTATACATGCCCCTTCATCAATGTAGATCACTTGAGTGAATTGACGTACGTTGTGGCGTGCTTGTCGACCCCTCGTCGTTGATAAACTCGAGCGAAGTTGGTGCACGTGGGTAACCTCAAGAAGTTTGATCCCTCCAATGACTTGGACTCAGCCAGTGGGCTTCGTCTGTGAACAGGGGACTGTTACGGCATGAGCCGGGCTGTGGTGTGTGCCGGGGAGGTGGAAGAGAAAGACAAGGTTGTCTGGTGCGGCCTGAGGGCTCCATCTTTACTGCGATTGCCCAATCTCATCCTCACCCTGTAAATAAACCCAGTCATCGTGTAAAACATAGTTGGCGCAAACTTTAAAGAACACAAAAGAAGAGACACGCAAAAGCACTTTTCCATGTATCTTCTTTGGTATTCTTTAAAATTTGCGCCAACGATTTTTCACACAGCTATTGCACAAACTAACCCGACAGCACACGTTACTGAAGCCCAGTCACCTTAACAACATTATATATATATATATATATATATATATATATATATATATATATATATATATATATATATATATATATATATATATATATATATATATATATATATATATATACATATAGTTACGGGAGGGCACACAGAGAAACGAGGTTACAGCTAAGATATAATTGCACGAGGCCAAGCCTAAGCCGAGATGGCAAACCAGAGCGTGCCCCACATTCCCGAATCACGTCGTCTTTCTCGCTGTCTGTCTTGATTCTTCAGCATGATGTAGTCTTGTAACATGACCCCCGGGTGCAGAAGCACCGTCTCGGTGCTTTCTAGGATGTTGCGGAGTGGTAGAGCTTAAGTCGGGAGACATGAACAATGTCTGTAGACATGGAAGATGACGACTTCAGTGGGGCTATCTCGTAGGTAACGTCGGTCACCTGGCGCAAGACGCGGTAGGTACCTGAGCACCGAGACAGCAGCTTCTCAGACAGGCCAACATGCCGAGTCGGTGTCCACAACAACACAAGGGAACCCGGGGCAAAGGAGACGTCACGATGATGTGTGTCGTAACGTTGCTTCTGTTTCTCTTGCTATGCTAAGAGGCGCTACCGAGCGACTTCTCGTGCTTTGTGAGCTCTGGTGATAGTGTCACGGGCGTATTCAGTCGGCGAATCGACAGCTGTCGGAAAGATGGTGTTGAAAGGTAGAGTTGGGTCACGGCCAAATAAGAGGTAGAATGGTGAAAACCCAGCGGTATCGTGGCGTGAGGAATTGTATGCAAATGTGACAAATGGCAATGCAACGTCCCAGTTTAGGTGGTCAGAGGAGACGTACATGGAGAGCATGTCAATTAAAGTCCGGTTGAATCGTTCGGTAAGCCCACTAGTTTGTGGATGGCAGGACGTTGTAACTTTATGTATGGTTTCGCAAGAGCGAAGGAGGTCGTCAATAACTCGGGAGAGGAAATAGCGTCTACGATCTGTGAGGAGTTGGCATGGAGCACGATGATGGAGGATGACATCGTACGAAAGAAAATCGGCAACATCTGTGGCACATCTGGTTGAAAAGCCCATGTGATGGCGTACCAGGTTGTATGATCTGTAGCTACAGCAATCCATTTGTTTCCGGAGGTAGACTGATGGAACGGGCCTAGGAGATCAAGACCAACTCGAAAGAAGGGGTCAATAGGAATATCAAGGAGCTGGAGGAGTCCAGCAGGACTCATAGGGGTTTTTTTTCGACGTAGGCACTGGTCGCATGCGACGACGTAGCAGTGCATGGAGCGATAAAGCCTGGGCCAGTAAAATCGACGCTGCACGCGGTCGTAAGCCCGAGCGAGACCAAGGTGACCGGCGGTGGGGGCGTCATGGAGCTGGGCGATAACACTCGAACGTAGGTGGGAAGGCACCACAAGGGGCAGTTCGCGCCCATTTGTGTTGACATTGTAGCGGTACAAGGTGCCCTCATTAAGTACAAACAGTCGAGTAGACGGATGGGGCGTTGGAGAGTTCAGCTTCTCAATAATGTCACGCAAGACGAGATCTCGGCGCTGTTCATCACGGATGTTGCTCAAAGCATAGAGAGAGAGAGCACACATGGCGGCACTTCATCTAAAGTCT